CTCCAGCCTGGGCGACAGAGCGAGACTCCGTCTCAAAAAAAAAAAAAAAAAAGAAATGAGGTCTTGCTCTGTCACCCAAGCTGGAGTATAGTGGCATGATCATGGCTCACTGCAGCCTTGAACTGCTGGGCTCAAGTGATCCTTCCCCCTCAGCCTCCTAGTAGCTGGGACTACAGGTGTGTGCTCGGCTAATTAAAATTTTTTTTTTTGAGATGGGTGTCTTGCCGTGTTGTCCAGGCTGGTCTGGAACTCCTGGTCTCAAGTGATCCTCCCACCTTGGCCTCCCAAAACACTAGGATTACAGGAGTAAGCCACTGTACCTGGCCCCAGTAAATACTTTTGAAGCAATGAATGAAAGCCTCTCCTCTCCTCACCAGCCCTCTGCCCTTCTCTGCTTCACATCCTTTCCCGCTCAGCCTTCCTCGCCAGCTTGCCCGTCTCTGCCCCACCTTTCCCAGCACCCCTCCAATCCCCTTCTTCCTCTGGCCTCGGCAGACCACCCACAATGTGGTCATTTCCTCCCACTTCATGAATCCGAACCTCTCTGTCCCTCCCCTTCTCTCTCCTATCCCACACTGGTCTCTTCCTAGTCTTCTCCATTCAGTTCACATCATGGAGGTCCCCCTGGTCTCTATCCCTTCCCTATGTCTCCAAAAACCTCCCTGGCCTGGCTCAGCTTAAAATGCTTTGCATTCCTCCTGGGCGGCAGCAGCTGGGAGGAGCCCAGAGCATGCCGGGACATGGGGAGCTCTCCCCTCTCCTCCTTCCCCCTGCCATGACCATGGTCACATCTGCACAGCACCCTGGAGCTTACACTGGCATTGTTTCATTCGAGCGCCACAGCAACTTATTAAAAATCCAGATGAGGCCGTGCACAGTGGCTCACACCTGTAATCCCAGCATTTTGGGAGGATGAGGCGGGTGGATCACCTGAGGTCAGGAGGTCGAGACCAGCCTGGCCTACATGGTGAAACCCCGTCTCTACTGAAAATACATAAATTAGCTGAGAATAGTGCCACATGCCTGTAATCCTAGCTACTTGGGAGGCTGAGGCAGGAGAATCGCTTGAACCCAGGAGGCGGAAGTTGCAGTGAGCCGAGATCGCGCCACTGCACTCCAGCCTG